TTACCAATCAGACGTCTATGGTTTCTGCAATTCCAATAAAACTAAGTGTTTCATGACGTCACCCCACAGGATTAGCTTGTATCGAGACCTTTGCGTGGGTACGCCATAAAACATTTAGTTTTATTGAAATTGCTACGGACGTCTGATTTGAAATTGGAATGGTGTAATGGTGAATGCTATCAGTGTCCCTTATACACATACAAAATTTCGAAGACCTCTTTACAACCCCTTTAATAGTTTTTATCAAAGGCAATTGTTTTTTACTTACAGATGTCTCACACAGTAAAGAGTCCAAATACTCACCCGATAATTTCTTATCTAATTGATCAATATCAATAGGCTGATTTATCTTCTTTAATTTCTTAAACTCGGTGTTGAAGGTAGAAGATACCGCATTGAGAGCCATACATTGAGACCAACCCTTATATTGGATATCTCTGGCAAATGAGTTGATTATTGCTGCAAAAGTCAAGAGTAATATCTACTATCTATATCAAGTTATAGTAAAACAAAATGGCAGTTGCTATCAATTGAGGAGGACATCATAAAATTTATATTTACAAGACCAATACTATCCACAAGTAAGTCAATATTTGCAGAATTGCATTCCTGAAAAAATTGATATCATACCTTTTAGAATGTGTTCCAGCCAAAGTATGCGGTTTAATTTGCTTCCAAAACTGAAGCATGTCAATCTTTGATTGTACTACCTAAAATACATTTGTATCATTACAACTGTTGTTTAGTTTAAAAAGATTAAGTATTAGTCAACCAAATGCTAAATTCCAACAATGAGATTTAATAGACCTTTTTCAGCTTGGCAATGACCACACAGTTTATTTGAATAAATGAAAAGCAACAAGGACATTGAACCACTGCCACATCCTCTAATTGTTTTTAAAAATTAAACCTTTTAACTCAAAGCAAGTTTTTCTGTTGGCGTCCATAATAATGATGGTTGGGTAACTTCCACATTCAACACATGTATACTAGTAACCATCATCTGTTTGTGCTTCAAAATGGAGATAGGCTTGAAAGATGTTTGCTGTGTATTTAGTTGGAAAAGTATCTTCTAATATTAGACATTCTCTTCCTACAGCTTTATGATGCTGAAAGATAATGGATATGTTAGGATTATCTACATGCCTGTCAAGTTTTATGAAGGACATGATGCATCGTTTTAATTTCAGAAATTCCACATTATGGAACATTTGCATTCATTTTTTGTCTGAATATTTAGGAATTTCATCAATCTAGACAATTACAATCTACATTTTCAAATCTACTTGATGGGGATGATGTCCTTTTGTATAAGCTACAGAACTCATGCGTAACATTTCACTTCTTTGTACTGGGATAAAGACCTATATCATTATAGCTAAAAAAAATAACTTACTTTGACACTAGATCGGAGTGGAAGGCATAGTTGGAATGTTAAAATTTTCGTATCGTCAGCCATATGTTGAGTCAGGGACACAGGATGGTTTGGGGCAATCTTTGGCCAGATGATTTTCTCAGCCACACAAGAAGCATTTTTGAACCGTCTTGGGCTGGTTCTCGTAGTTAATTTCCAGTTTATGGTTGTCTATCGTAATACTGAAAGGGATCGGTTTGTTGATTTCCTTGCTGAAAATAAACCTCACTCCAGTATCAATATTATGATGGCGGGAGAAGGTATTCCTTTTGATGTAGAGAGAGGAACAGAATGATTGTAATTTAGCTAGAATCACATCATTCTGCATCTCATACGGGGCACGAATATCTGGTTTACGGATTAGGGCCAGGATATTCTTGACATGTTCAATTTCGAATTTAATGCTGTTATATATTATTTTTATTTATAGAAATGTAATTCCCCGTCATTATTAATCAATGTAAACAAGTTTATTTATAGAATTGTAATTCCCTGTCATTATTAATCAATGTAAACAAGTTTATTTATAGAAATGTAATTCCCTGTCATTATTAATCAATGTAAACGAGTTTATTTATAGAATTGTAATTCCCTGTCATTATTAATCAATGTAAACGAGTTTATTTATAGAAATGTAATTCCCCGTCATTATTAATCAATGTAAACAAGTTTATTTATAGAAATGTAATTCCCTGTCATTATTAATCAATGTAAACAAGTTTATTTATAGAAATGTAATTCCCTGTCATTATTAATCAATGTAAACAAGTTTATTTATAGAAATGTAATTCCTCGTCATTATTAATCAATGTAAACAAGTTTATTTATAGAAATGTAATTCCCTGTCATTATTAATCAATGTAAACGAGTTTATTTATAGCATTCAGACTGGAAACTATCACTAGAAATGGTATTTCACTCTAAACCTCAACAATCACTAGAATTAGTACTATTCTCTAAATCACAACAAACACTAGAATTAGTACTTCACTCTAAATAACAACAAACACTAAAATTAATACTTCACTCTAAACCTCAACAAACACTAGAATTAGTACTATACTCTAAATCACAACAATCACTAGAATTAGTACTTCACTCTAAATAACAACAATCACTAGAATTAGTATTTCACTCTAAATCACAACAATCACTAGAATTAGTACTATACTCTAAATCACAACAATCACTAGAATTAGTACTTCACTCTAAATAACAACAATCACTAAAATTAGTATTTCACTCTAAATCACAACAATCACTAGAATTAGTACTATACTCTAAATCACAACAATCACTAGAATTAGTACTATACTCTAAATCACAACAATCACTAGAATTAGTACTATACTCTAAATCTCAACAATCACTAGAATTAGTACTATACTCTAAATCACAACAATCACTAGAATTAGTACTATACTCTAAATCACAACAATCACTAGAATTAGTATTTCACTCTAAATCTCAACAATCACTAGAATTAGTACTATACTCTAAATCACAACAATCACTAGAATTAGTACTATACTCTAAATCACAACAATCACTAGAATTAGTACTATACTCTAAATCACAACAATCACTAAAATTAGTACTATACTCTAAATAACAACAATCACTAAAATTAGTATTTCACTCTAAATCACAACAATCACTAGAATTAGTATTATACTCTAAATCTCAACAATCACTAAAATTAGTACTATACTCTAAACCTCAACAAACACTAGAATTAGTACTATACTCTAAATCACAACAATCACTAAAATTAGTATTTCACTCTAAATCACAACAATCACTAGAATTAGTACTATACTCTAAATCACAACAATCACTAGAATTAGTACTATACTCTAAACCACAACAAGCACTAGAATTAGTACTATACTCTAAATCTCAACAATCACTAAAATTAGTATTTCACTCTAAATCACAACAATCACTAGAATTAGTACTATACTCTAAATCACAACAATCACTAGAATTAGTACTATACTCTAAATCACAACAATCACTAGAATTAGTACTTCACTCTAAATAACAACAATCACTAGAATTAGTACTATATTCTAAACCTCAACAATCACTAGAATTAGTACTATACTCTAAATAACAACAAACACTAAAATTAGTATTTCACTCTAAATCACAACAATCACTAGAATTAGTACTTTATTCTAAATTACAACAATCACTAGAATTAGTACTTTATTCTAAATCACAACAATCACTAGAATTAGTATTTCACTCTAAATCACAACAAACACTAGAATTAGTATTATACTCTAAACCTCAACAAACACTAGAATTAGTACTTCACTCTAAATAACAACAATCACTAGAATTGGTATTTCACTCTAAATAACAACAATCACTAGAATAAGTACCAACCACTAGAAGTAGTACTTTATTCTAAACCTATTTTTATTTTGCTACCTACTTTCAACTTGATTGCTGTTGACACACAGACAGACACTCACACAAACATTTCACCACTTGACACACAGACACTCACACAAACATTTCACCACTTGACACACAAACAGACACTCACACTA